TTAACCGTTGGCGCGCATATTGCATTGACCGTGGACAGGTGGAAAAACAGTTAAACCGGAAAAGCCTGTTGCACATTGTCATTTAGCATTGTCCAACACGCAGTTGGTCTGGTTGTAATGTTAATCGTATTTGAGAGAATCTCAAGGTTTCTTTCGACATACTGGGGTGCCATACTACTAGATGGCGGACACGAAATTAAACAAAAAATTTATGGAAAACATAATATTTTATTGAAACTTCTAAGTAATTCAACTATAACTGATCTGTATACAATTTCTTTCCTAATATATTGTCAATTTGTTCTATAACTAGATTTCAAAACAATATTTGACCACTTTGTTATTGTTCATTTGTTGAGTTCAGTTTAAACTGTAACTGAGCTATAGTAAAATTTATCTCCATGTTTACAAAATATGTTGTCAATTTGTTCTTCGACTGTCAGTTTACTAATCCCCCTTAAAAATCTTTGCAATTTCTGTAACCATAGAACACATCATCTGTTGACTTTTCAGCTCCCTTTCTGCCTCTTTTTCTGCTAATCTTTCAAAGAAATCGTGATCTCTGTTTTGACTCTCAGTCTAAAATGTGAAGTAACCTGTATTCTGATCGGCCTCCTCTGCCTTCTTTGACTTTTTAGCAGGCGTCTGTTTTTTTCTTGGCAACTGAGGGGCTTTCCGTCGTTCCTTTTCTTTTACTGCCCAGCTTTTGTTTAAAGAATAACAATTCAGAAAACGAAAGATCTTCCTGGTTTTCAGGTTCTTTCAAATTGGGGTCACTCGTTTCAGCACTTGAAGGCGTACTGGGGCAAGACGATGAAGAGGCACAAGGACTTGCTTGTCAAACCCGCATTCGGCAACTTTCTTAGGCGTTATTCTTGGTTTACAGCCAAGAACATCGTTGAAGTCATTAAAGTATGGGAAGGTTATGCGCTCATTCCCGCTTTTGTTATTGTGATCCTTGACCCTTTAAAATCATCTTCCAAATTCTTGATCTTTGCTTTGCATTGCTGTGCAGTACGAATACAGGGAAGATTTTGCTCTGCAAGCAGCTGATTTAACTGCTTTGAGATACGTTCCCAAATAATGGAGTTTTGCTGCTTACTGATAGGAAAATAGTCCTTCCACACAGATATCAGTAAGCGTACTTCTGCATCTGTTCAGTTCGGTGACCTGACCTTGCGGCCGGATCCCTTGCTAATTCCACTCTCGCCTTCTTGGCTCATAACTTTGATTGCTGGGGATTGCACTTGCCAATCTTGCTGCCGTGGAGGGGGAGCATCTCGCTGATCAGGCTGCCAAGTTGGAAAAATCATCGGGCCACATGCGATCTGGTTGACATCAAAGTCGCCATCGGTTGGAACCACGAACGGAGACCTAAGCCAAATAAGTATTTTCTTAGCTCGAAACTCAGTCTTTTGCATTTGCAGTGACAATCAGCAACTAAATGAAAAGTTACCCACCTTTGATTTGAAGAGTGGAAAATTAAAACTGAGATTATGAAATGGATGTGCCATTACGTTTTACGTACAAAAGCTTATTCACGCGAAATGCAAATTATGTTAACCTCTTATCTGACAAGTTCATCAGTAGTTTGACTGCAGCTGAAACTTGATTGGCCGAAATTAATTGACGACATACTTAAGCGACTTGCTTTGGTGGCTTAAATTTAATGGAAATTTTATTGAAGTTTGCCGACTCGCTTAACTTTAAGCAAGGTGGACAGCCAACTGTTTTCATGAGGTTTCCGGTTGTCACTCGCTAAGCAACCTGAAAATCGTTCGTGAAAACACGGCCAATGTCTTTAGTTTTCGATGTTGAAATTTTGCATATAAAGGGAATCTCTAAAAAACTTTGTATTTTTTTCAAATCATACTACATGTAAGATGGTGTTTGGCTATAACTAGTTTAGTTGTTTGGTAAACAGTTTTAAAAGTTTTATTCTATTGTGTTATAGTTATGTTGATGTTATGAGGAGAAATGTCATGTTGGTTGCTCTTTGTATAAGTAACTTACCTGAGCTTGACAAATAATTTTGTCCATCCTCCACAATGGCAAATGCACACACAAAACCATTGCTGCTGTGAGACATTCTTGTGCCATCTCCTGATATCTTCACTTTGATGTTTTGTACTGGCAATTCATTATTCTTCAGCTATGAAAAGAATACAACACAGGAAACAATTGGATCAAACTACAATGTTGATATTTTTATTGGCCAGGGAAAACAAAATAATGTATATTTGTACTCAAAAGAGGAACTTTGTGAGTGAAATCTTAAACCCATTGACGCCTGAATGAAATTGCCTGCTACTCACCCCTAATTCCCTGGCGTTTTTGTTATATTATGAAGGAGACACATGGAGTAAAATGAAATACACCTTACTCGAACTCCACACGATTGTAACTGAACGTCAAGCTATAACAGCACACTAAATAGACTGAAGCACCATGGGAACAGGTCCCTAGAGGCATGTGCTAATGCATATTGTAACACCCTCTCTTTTATGGAGAAGGAAAAGAAAACTAGCTTATAAATACACAATACGAATAAGCATGAATTGATAAAGAAAGTAACTGCGCTCTGTGATAACGCACTAAAGGTCTTAGTGTTCTAAGTTTTCTTAGTGTTCATGGCTTCATGTCAAAACAAAGTCATTTAAGTGTTTTGGTGGATGTTGCTGACGCACTGATCGTCTAAGCACTGGCTTGGGTGGTGACGTCACTGCAGCTGAAGGAACGTCCGAGCCACTTGGAAACGAACTTCCTTGACTCAATGTGGGTAGACTAACTTCTCCAGAAGAACTTGTCTGCGACTCTTACGACTGTGCAAAAGAGGGAGTGGGCACCTCTGGTACCTCAGCAGATATCTCATTAGGTATCTCGTCTGTCAGTGGCGGTGATGGCTCATTTGTCAAACGTAGGTGAACACGGTTGAGCCGCACAACATTGTAAGGCGTCTCGACCTCGTACGATCTCTCGTCCAGTCACTTTTGTACAATTCCTTTCTGCCATTTGCGCTTGCCCAACTGGAACGGTTTCAGTCTCACAGTATCTCCTCTCTTTAACAGATCCAGATCAATAGCACCTCTGTTGTAATACTGAGCTTGTCACTGTTTGCACTGCTCAAGCTTGGCTTGGCACTGGTCACTGTCTGGAACTGCCTGTGGTGCAAGCAGGTTAGCTGTCATTGGTAGTAGACTTCTAGCTCTTCTGTTGAAGAGGTGCTGTGCTGGACTAATTTGGATACCAGCAGATGGGGTGTTATGATGATCGAGTAAGGCTAGAAAAGCATCCGATCCACTGGACTTGCACTTTGTGAGGATTTTCTTAGCCTCCTTCACTGCACTCTCTGCTTTATCATTTCCTTGGCTGTGGTGGGGACTGCTGGTCAGATGTTCAAAGTCCCGGTCTTTCGCGAATTTCAGGAAATCGCGTGACGTAAATTGTGAACCGTTATCTGTCACCAGCTGCTCGGGAATACCGTGGTGCGCAAAGTGGGCCTTTAACTTCCTGATGACACACACCAACGAAGGAGATCTTAAATGGTCCAGTTCAAAGAAATCGCTGTAATAATCTGAGGTGACTAAGTAGGTTTTTCCTTTAAGCTCAAACATCTGTGGCCACTTGTTGCCAGGGTCGATTTGCTGTCTCAGGGGACATCATTGTTTCCTTGACTTGACCCCACTCAAACTCTCAACATACCTCACAGGTTGACACATAGTTCTTAATGTCAGTTGTCATCCCAGGCCAATAGAGACACTCACAGGCTCTATTTAGACAGCCATTAACCCCAAGATGTGATTTGTGAATTTGTCTTCTCAGTTCGCTCCTCGACGCTTATGCAACCATGACGCGTTCTCCCTTAAAGATGAGACCATCCTGGATCGACATCTCATCACGCATGTTGAAGTAAGGAGAAATTACACTAGGCACGTTACTCTTATGCTCTGGCCAGCCCTTCTGAATTACGGCTTTCAGCACTTGAAGAGAGTCATCTGCTTTGGTATCTTGCTGAATCTGCAGAAGCCTTTCTTCCGATATGGGCAGATACTTCATCATCTTGATTGTCTCAAACTCATTCTTGTCTTGCTCACCGGCAGGGAGAAATGCTTTCGAGAGGGTATCGGCCAGAAACATCCTGCTTCCGTTCTTGTACCTCACCTCCAGGTCATACTTCTGAAGACGAATTATCATGCCCTGCAAACGCTTGGGGGCACGGTGCAAGGGCTTCTTGAAAATTGATTCTAGTGGCTTGTGGTCGCTAAAAACAATAGTCTTATTGCCAAACGTGTAGTCATTAAACTTCTCCACAGCGAAAACAATCGCAAGCATTTCTTTTTCCATCTGAGCATAACGGGTCT